GGCTGAGGCAGGAGACTTGCTTGAGCCCAGGAGTTGGAGGTTGCTGTGAGCTGAAATGCCACAGCACTCTACCTAGGGGGACAGCTTGAGGCTCCTGTGTCCAAAATAAAAAGAACTATACATGTAGCTTATACTGCTTTTGAAATTTACTAAAAATCTGCGGCTATTTTTTTCAGTGTAACCCACAGCAAGAAATATGTCTTTACAAAATGATGCTACATATGCATGCATAAATATATAATTAAAACAGGTTTCACAAAACAATACTTACCACACATGATACATTTTATTTTCTACTGTATTTAATTTTTCAAAAATGCTTTTTATAACTCACTACACTAACTACACACAACCAACTGCTGGGTCACAACTTCTAGGGCAGCACCTGTGTCTTAGTGGGTAGGGGCCAGCCCCACATACCAAGGGTGGCAAGTTCGAACCCGGCCCCAACCAAACCACAACAAAAAATAGCCAGGTATTGTGGGGGGCACCTACAGTCCCAGCTACTCGGGAGGCTGAGACAAGAAAATCACCTAAGCCCAGGAGTTGGAGGTTGCTAGGAGCTGTAACGCCGCAGCACTCTACCAAGGGTGACATAGTGAGACTCTGTCTCAATAAATAAATAAATAAGAACAGCAGTGTTCTAGATGGTACTGAATACAGGCTTTAGAGAAGCTTTTCTGGAGGCCTTGGGCATAACAAATGATTCAAAGTTCAGAATGCTATCAGAAGAGCAACCATTTTCTCTATATTTTTATGTTACCTGATCAGTAAATTTACTATAAAATTACACAGGGATTGAAAAAGGAAATGAATCTGCTTTCTAAATCTCTTAAGTATTTACTGATCTCTCCACCAGCATTTATAATTCTTGCATCATAAAAATGTTCATCTAACATGGTATATGAGAGGAAAATATGCAACCTCCAGGGGAAACACATAAAGCACATATTTAAAGCAGAATTTCTTGGCCTCAGCAACACTGACATTTTAGGCTAGATAATGCGTTATTGTAAAGGAATGTTCTGTGCTTGTTTAATAGCACCCCTGACTTCTACCTATCGTACACTCTCTTTCCCATTATGACAACCAAAAGTGTCTCCAGACATTGATGAATATCCCCTGGAGGGAAAAACTGCACCAAGTCAGGGCCACTAGTTTAAAGAAATTTGAATAAAAATTTACTTTTTAAAAGAGAAAAATAACTAAAACTCTATAGAATGGGAAGATAACATCTAGGCAGCTGACAACAGATATAAATTTTTTGTGTATGAAAAATACCAAATTAGTGGGAAAATAATCTATTACCAAGTTTGTAATTATGAGCCAGTCACTGGGGCTATCTATAAACAAGAACAATTCAGGCATTTACTGTACCAGAAAAGATTTGTATGGCAGGTACTCTCAATTTAAAAAAGAAAAAAAAAAGACTTGGCACCTGTGGCTCAAGCGGCTAAGGCGCCAGCTATATACACCTGAGCTGGAAGGTTCAAATCCAGCCTCGGCCTGCCAAACAACAATGCCAGCTGCAACCAAAAAATAGCTGGGTGTTGTGGCAGGCACCTGTAGTTCCAGCTACCTGGGAGGCAAAGGCAAGAGAATTGCTTAAGCCCAAGAGTTGGAGGTTGCTGTGAGCTGTGACATCACAGCACTCTACCAAGGGCAATATAGTGAGATTCTGTCTCAAAAAAAAAAAAAAAAAAATCCTAGCACTCTGGGAGGCTGAGGCAGGTGGATTGCCTGAGCTCACAGGCTCATGACCAGCCTGAACCAGAGCAAGACCTCATCTCTAAAAATAGCCAGGTGTTGTGGTGGGCACCTGTGTCTCAGCTACTTGGGAGGCTGTGGCAAGAAAATCTCTTAAGCCCAAGAGTTTGAGGTTGCTGTGACCAATGATGCCACAGCACTCCACCAAGGGTGAAACTCTATCAAGGGCGACAAAGTGAGACAAGAAAGAAAGAAAGAAAGAAAAGAAAGAAAAGAAAGAAAAGAAAGAAAAGAAAGAAAGAAAGAAAGAAAGAAAGAAAAGAAAGAAAAGAAAGAAAAGAAAGAAAGAAAGAAAGAAAGAAATCTGACTCCTAACAATCACAGAAATCCCTCAATTCTCTTCATAAAGCAGGAAAAGAGGTATAAAGGGATAAGAATGAAAAAAATACGGTGTTGGCTGACCTATATAACCCTCATCTTTCTTTTTATCTTCTTTCCCTAAAACTCTCATTATCCTTAGGCCTCTCTCAAGTAAATGGTAAAAATCTATATATACACTTCTTCCCTGTTCTAAGTACCTTATCACTGTTTCCTCTCAAACTGACCAAAAAATAAATCCTAACTAATAATCAACATTACTGAGGAGTATGTAGCACTTGTTCTCCCAGATACTCAGGAGGCTTAGGTAAGAGGATCATTCAAACCCAGGAGTTTGAGGCTGCTGTGAGCTATGAGGCCATGGCACTCTACCCAGGGCAACAGAGTGACAACAAAAAAAGAGGGCATGGAAACACATAACCTCTCCTCCCCTCTGCAGAAAAGGTGGCTGTGCATCCCTACCCATGAACCAAAAGGGTTCTGTTAAAAGGAAACAGTTAATTTTGGGCCAGGCCTGGTGGCCCACGCCTATAACCTTAGCACCCTGAGAGGCTGATATGGAAGGATTGCTTGAGTTCAGGAGTTCAAGACCAGCCTGAGCAAGAGCAAGACTTCGATTGCTACAAAAAAGTAGAAAAATTAGTTGTCTCAGCTACGTGAAGTTCAAATGTTACAAACATCTGACTGATTTACAACTCGCACTTATGAATGGAAGCTATTACAGGTAATACAAATTCAATGTTAAGAACCAATCTACAGAACCAATCTTGTTCACAACAGGAAGCTGAGCCAATCCTTTGAGCCCAGGAGTTTGAGGTTACAGTAAGAGCTATGACTATGCCACTGTACTTTAACCCAGAGACAGAGTGAGACCCTGCCTCAATCAATCAATAAAATAAAGTTAATTTTGTATTTCTGAAAAACTGTTTTACTCTTGAGTTCTACACTGTATCATGTCTTACCCAAGACAAATGCTTAGAAATAAAAATCTTAAAAATAAAATATATAGTGAAATAGAAGAAAGACTGGAAAAGGAGAAAAATGCAATTATCCTACATTGTTTTTAAGTGTTATCTATGTTTTTATATATATACATACAGACCTGGATTTTTATATACTGTGTATTTGCATACATAAACCCTGCATAGGTAAGGACACAAACTGAACTATTAACAGTGATTCCCACTGTGGAGCAGGCCTAGAAGTCAGGGGTAAAACATAGGCATTTATTTTCTTATTTAATTTTTTTTTAAACAATGATTATATAGTATTTTTAAAATTAATAACCAAGTTAAACAAGTTCTGAGATACAGCAATGATAAGAAACCATAAATGAAGAGCACAAAGGCACACTTCTGTTGTACTTTTGCAAATAAATTCCCAGTTTGGTGACAAATCCTAAAACTTCTTCCTCTCAAACAACATCCCTTTTCATACCTGTTCAAAGCTTATAAAACAAAGTCAAGTATTAAGCAAATGTGAAAAACAAACTTGATAAGAGAAAATCAATGGGGAAAAGAAGCAGCAAGGTAGAGAGATGCACTGATAAGTGCTATGGAGTAAACTCTCTCTACTTGATATATAAACTTTATGCTTTTTGTCTTATTTCTCTAAAGCCCAGGAACAGAGAGGTGATACCTCTAGTTTGTCCTAACTGACAAGACATTCAAATGACTTCTAAATGACTCAAATGCTTTGTCTACAACATATCTTCATCTTTTTTTTTTTTTTTGGCAGAGCCTCAAGCTGTCCCCCTGGGTAGAGTGCCGTGGCATTACAGCTCACAGCAACCTCCAACTCCTAGGCTCAAGCAAGTCTCCTGCCTCCGCCTCCCAAGTAGCTGGGACCACAGGCGCCCGCC